ACATCTCTTCCTTGTTCCTCTCCTTTGGGTATGCCAGCTATGTGGAGATAATTTCTTTTGAGGGAATCCCATATTTGCTGTATTTCTGTTTCATTTTTTCTTACTCTTTTTGCTCTTCTGACTGGATAATTTCATATGTTCTATCTTTGAGCCTACTGATTCTTTCCTCAGTTTAACTCTGCTGTTGAAGCTTTCTGTCTAGTTTTTCAGTTCAGATACTGTACTCTTTATTTCTAGAATTTCTATTTCTATGTGTATTTTCTTGTGACTCCCTGAACATCCTTAAGAGGGTTATTCTTAATTCTCTGTCAGTTCATAAATCCACTGTTTCTCTGGATCCCTTGCTGGTGCTCTGTTTCCTTTGGTGGTATATTTCTCTGTTCTTTCTTGATCTTTGTGTGTTTACATTGATGCCTGGACATTTGAGGAGGCTGCTACCTCTTCTAGGTTTTCTGTGTTCTTCAGTGGTATTAGACCTTTATTAGTTAACATCAGAGCTTTGTCTCTGGTCTGTGGTTTTTTTGGGGTTTTTTTCCCCAGTTCTGTAGTGGATTATTAGCTATCACTGCCACTTAAACTCTGCACTGGAATTAATTTGTTGCTGCTTTGCTTCTGATTCTCTGGAGAAGATTTTTGTGTGATCAGATTTTAATTGTTGGCCTTTTAATCATTTCCAGATCTACTGAAGCCAGATACACGTGGGCTTTGTGGAAAGTCTGGTCCAGGACTGAGTCTTTCCAGCAAACTGCACCCTCTGCAGTTTTATTGCCCTGACCAGTCTCCACTGAGTGGGCGTGTGCTGTTGGGAAGGCAGACTAGCTGCCCACACTATACCCAATGTGCCCCGTGTGGGACAGCCTGCCCGCCACACTCCATCGCTTCCCGTGGGTCAGGCCATGCACAGGTCCCTTGCGGTGACTCACCAGCCTCTGGTGGTTCCTTTCTTTGGTTGGCTGCAGCTCCTCATTCCTGTGTAAGTCCAGAAGAACCCTGTTAGTGGTCTTGCTGGCCTGTGGGCTGGTAAGGTGCACTCCGAGGCTGCCTTCTCCCCTGCAGACTCCAAGTGACTGCACACAAAAGGCTCAGCTGCAGCTTTTGGTGGCTCCTGCTCCACGTGCTGCAGATTCTTCCTGCTCCTTGCCAAGCTGGCCCTGAAGTGGTCAGAGCTCGAAATGGTCGGAGTGGTCCCTTCTCTCTCTCACTGTGACTTTTCACAAACTCCACAGGTCTCTCTTCTGCTTCCCCCAAGCTCAAGCAGTCCCAGGTTGTTAGTCTTTGCATTTTAATAGTTGTAAATTGATCAGTTGTGGGGGAGAATGATGCTGGGGACAATCTAGTCCATCATCGTCATCTTTTGAGATGATTGGTGAAGATGTAAAACAAAGCAAATTCTCAAGATGAATATTGGTTGTCCTTGCTCTTTAGCCATTATTTTCAGTCTTCAGCCAGTGGTTATCTATGTCTGTGTATATAGCTAAAGCAGTTACAATTAATTTTCAAGGAAAATGTTGAGAGAAATCATGCCAAATATTTTATCCTGATCTAAATATAAAATATGTCATTTAGTCTTCATACCCATAATGTTTTAGAACAAATCATTATATTTTTCTAGTGTGGCTTGTTTTGCACTTACACAAACTTTGTTCTAGTTAACAATGCTTGTCTATAATTCTCTGGTAAGTTATACTTTCATGTCATGGCTCTCTAAATACAATTCTTTTTCCTTCCCAGAAAGTGGATCTCTTCAGCCTGGGAATTATCTTCTTTGAGATGTCCTATCACCCTATGATCACGGCCTCAGAAAGGATCTTTGTTCTCAACCAACTCAGAGATGTATGTATCAGATATTTTAGTGCTTAAATTTCCAGTAAACTGATTCTTAGCATGGAGCTCTAAATTCAAGACAGGATATTTTTCTGGTATTTATAATATAGAAGAGGCTGTCCTATTCTAATTTTAATGATCATTTGCTGAGATATGCCTGGCTTACCAATTTTTCCATTTCCAGTGAAAAGTTTTTCTAAGCAAAGGAAGTCACTTCTTAAAATTGCAGCTTTGGCAGCGAAAGACTGTTAGTACTATGGGGGGACCTTATTGGTCTCTCTTCTGTATTTCTAATAGTGGAAAGCCACCTTTGTTTACACACCTCCAGTGATGAGAAACATACCCCAGTTTTGTTTGTCGTGGGGATATCTTACTTGTAGAAATTCCTAGGGCATAGTTACTTTTAAAAAATTATACTTGATTTTAAAACCAAGGAAGAATCCAGAAATATTTGCATGATATAAATACAGTTAAAGCAGTGGGAATGGGTTATAAGGATAATGGATATTTAGTTCTAGAAATTAAAGATTCCTGCTGAATTGACTTAGTACAATAATACCCGAAGAAAATCACTATGGCTAGAAGTTAAAATGGGTCTGAGAAAAATATCAGCCACTTGAATTTTTTTTCCCAATGGAATTTCCATGTGCGTTCTTAGGATTAATCCTTAACTCTGTGATTGTGTGAGCTAACAGGGAATTAGAGTGTGTGAGGTCAAGAGTGCCCATGAGAAAATAGCATTAAGGTGAAAGTGGAGAGTAAGATTCATGTGAGGATTATATAGATTCCCGTGTTCATGAGGGAGAGGTCTGGAGAGACTTCCTTACTAAGTAGAGCAAAGCAGGAGTATTCATTAAGTTATATCACATACACTGTAACTAAGAATACCCCTCTAGAGATTTTAGAAAACAGTGTAGTATTTTACTGCCAATACAGTATGGACAGCTATATTCATAAAGTATAAAAGTAAATAAAGTGACTGTCACCTTGCCTCGATTGGAGTGCTCTTAGGTGATTTGTTCCTGAGGAAAGGCCTTCCTTTAGTCTGAAATACATGTTTGTTCCCTCATTTCAAGAATATCTAAACTGTCAATAACTAAAGTTAATGTTATCACTGAGTTTCTATTTACCAGAAAGGTAAGAACTTTTCAGGAGGTAGAGGCTTTAGTGTTAATATTTTTCTCTTACTCTGTGTTGGGTTTTTTTTGCCATTTTTCATCAACGTGTTTAGTAAAACTATTTTGTCTTTCTCTGAAACCATTAGATTTTTAAATACTTTGGCCTCAGATGAGGTGCTTTCTATAATCTAGGCTGTCATTTGGGTAAAGTTTGTATTAGAATAATATGTATGTACTTGCAAGAATGAGCATTGGACTTCAAAAAGGTATCACCTCAGTCTTTCCTTGTTAGTGAATTTTTATTTCTGTATTTGATTTTCTTACTAATGGTGAATAAATACTTTCACAATGGCACTCTGCCAAGCACTTGCTGATTTAAATATAATATTCTTTTAGCCCACTTCGCCTAAGTTTCCAGAAGACTTCGATGAGGGAGAGCATACAAAGCAGGTAATTTTCTGATGCTTTAATCACCATGTCTTCAGTCTTGGGTTTTAATTACTATTTTTCTTTTTTTGCAATTAGTAATATTCTGCTACTCATTCTCTTGTGTCTTGGGAACAACGTAGGAAAAACAATGAAAAGATGGAGCACTTAAAATGTTATCAGACTTGAAATACACCATAAAAATGCCAAGGCTGGCATAGAATATTAACAAACCATAGGGTTCTTTTGTGTGGTTCACTGTGCTTTTGAAGTGCTATTTGTACCCTTGGCTTAGCTGTTAAAAAAAAAAAAAAAGAATGCTTTTATAGCTCATTGTTTTAGATAAAGCTTGGGACTTTAAGAAAAAATATGTAATTTAAAACTATAATTTTGTTCTGTTTTGTGGTTGAAGTAGGTCAGATTGTGGGGGAAGGGTTACATTTTCTAGACAATGTGATGTTAAAGTATTTTAAATTTATCCTATACACCATAAATACTTGAGAGTGTGTGTATTATGTAATTCATGCTGTAGGCTAATATTGGCATCCAGCTAATGTGAACGAATAATTACTAGAGAATTTGTGTATTATGCCCTAGTGTGTCTTTCTTCTTAGTGCCAGTGTTTGTCTTGGCGAAAACTTCAGTGGTTAATACTGTTGTAATCTGGAAGATTATTTCTTAAACTGAATTTTATTGACAATCATAAACAAGGCAAAGTCACTTATTAACATTATTAATGTTGAGAACAGAAACAGAATATTGTGTTAATTTGCTATTTCTTGTTTATTGGTTATGTATATGTATGGATGTGCTGCTTAACTTTTCTAGACTTTAATTTTCCTCACTTGGAAAATAAAGGGATTAAGACTTCTTTATTTATATTAGCACTAACATTCTGTAATTTGGTAATGTTTAACATGACATTTATGGCCATAGGGACCCATTCTACCTCATCTATTTAATTAGTGAAGAACCTTTAGAAAATACATTGAGTCTTGTTTCTACTTTTTTTAGCTACTATTATTTACTTGAACTGAATTTTCTGTTTCTGGGCGTCATAAGGAAACATTCATATGTTCATATTTTCATAGCCTTACCCTGTGACAACGTCAATCTCATTCAGTATTTTTACCTGTTGACAGCTACGGTGGCCCAGGAACTTAAACTACAAACATGAAAGCAATTATAGAAACTCATATTTTCATAGCCTTACCCTGTGACAACGTCAATCTCATTCAGTATTTTTACCTGTTGATAGCTAGGGTGGCCCAGGAACTTAAACTACAAACATGAAAGCAATTATAGAAACCATTTCTCACAATGGGGATTGTTCTCCTATCATCAGATATTAGGTACCCTCGAGCATTTGAATATGAGCTATATAAAATTGACACCAAAACAACAAAACCACAACCACTACCACCTTCCACATCACAATTGTTTCTTTTTGTCCAAAAGGAGGCCACATAGAAAATGCTTATAGACTGAGTATAATGTAATTTTTGACATGGACAGAAATTTAGCAGTATACCAGGGTCTATTGTGCTGAATACAGTATTATTACTTTTACCAGTTTAGCATAACTCTCATAAAAGTTGTATCATGTCAATTCCTTTCTTTATAATGTAAAACTTCTGCTTTACACAAAAAGTCATTACCTGTTTTTACTTCCCCACTAAGACTGGAGTAGGGGAGAGTACAGGGTGGGGAGCATTTTAAAGATACATAATTAGAAAATGCTTAATAAGATTCATCTAAAAACAGGTTTTCTGATCTCAAATATTCCTCTAACTCCTTATAAATCCTTATAAACAAGAGGATTAAGAATCATTAAGGAACCGTTCAGAGGTTTATATTGCTTTCAAATGGTTCCCTGCTTAATGAGGTAGTAGCTGTGAAGGTAAAACAAATGAGTAATGAGGATCAAGAGAATTCAAGGACTGGTGTCAATACAAATAACATAAATGGAAGAGAAAAAATAAAAATAAGATGTTTTACATTGCTTTAAGGATTCTAGTAGTCACTATGCGTTACAATTTCTACTAAAATTAGGCATGTAAAGCTATTTGTTTTATGTTCTTACATCTTTTTTATACAATATTCTATGTGTTTATAAGGCCTAAGTTCTGCTTCTATGTGTTCATTGAGTTGAGGATTTTTTTGGTTGTGACATAAAATATAAAAACAGTCTCCACCTTTTAAGAAATATGTCATTTATATTACACAGTTGCACAACTCTGTGGCCTTAACAGAGTGCAGGGAAAAAATGACATATTCAGAGATTTTTGAAATACAGGTTAAAATGCATGAACTAAGTACAAGCAGTGTGGTATCAGGGCTGGCTGGTTAGATCAGTTGTTTAGAGTGCAGCCTTGTAACACCAAGGTCAAGTGTTCAGATCTGCATACCAGCCAGCTGCAAAAAAAAAAAAAAAAAGTTTGGTGTTGTTTCTTTGACCTGAACTGACCACCACATTGTCAGGAGAATTCCCATTGTCTGTTGCATCCCATCAGTGTGTGCCTGCTTTTCATTATAGAAATCTGTCATCTCCTGGCTGTTGAACCACGATCCAGCAAAAAGGCCCACAGCCACAGAACTGCTCAAGAGTGAGCTGCTACCCCCACCCCAGATGGAGGAGTCAGAGCTACATGAAGTGCTGCACCACACCCTGGCCAATGTGGATGGGAAGGCCTATCGCACCATGATGGCCCAGATTTTCTCCCAGCGCATCTCCCCCGCCATTGACTATACCTACGACAGTGACATCCTGAAGGTGGGCTTTCACCATGCTTCTCAAAGAGAGCTTAACCTGGTCCACAAAAGGATAAAGTCAGTTCTTTGTATCTCATGGGTTCTTTTAATGTTGAGGTCCAGAAAGCTCCTAAAAGTACATGTAAAATGTGTGCATATGCATTATCCTGGAAAGACCCATTCTTTTAATCACTTACTTGAAGTTCTTGACCCATCCCCCC